TATAACTTGTTCTTTACTAAGGAAAGGTTATAAGCAGCAACGTTACTAAGTCTGCGTAAGCTCCCTTAGAATATTTATGTACTTCCCTAGACAAATTATGAAATACTTTCAGCCAGCCTTTACAAAAAAATGCAGTGTTTTCACATATTTTACACAGATTGTTATTCTAGAAAGGCTTATTGTTCATTTTGTATTTTGAGTTGATCTCTTAAAACTCAGAATGGCAGGATCTATATGATCAAAATGATTATCTTTTAATAAATTTTGATTTATTTATCTTTTTTTTCCCCCATTTCTAAAGACATGATCACTCTCAAATTGTAATATATTGATATTTTGATATTCCAGGAAAGCAACTGTTCATTGCATGTAAGTCAGGAACTTAGTCACCTTTATCCATCGACTCATGACTTTACAGTACTCAGCAAGAAGAGTGCGCCAGGTCTTATAATAGCTACTGGTACAATTGGAGCTTCACTGAAGGGGCACCCAGCACTTTACCTGTCATCAGATGCAGGTATCAATTGGTCTGAGGTAAGAGAACCATAACTGTGTTGTTTTGTTTGATTGTACATACCTGCCAAGCCCTCAGTCAGTGATTATGTTGAATGTATGACCTTTTCATATTCGTCGGAAATTCTTTTGTAACTCCATTTATTTTGGGGTGTTCTCTGTAAATTGCTTTATAGCTATGATTCATGGCTCTCATCATATGTTGATATTACTTTATTTTAAGGCAGAGGTTCCTAAAACTAAAATGTGCAAGAGTATTTTCAAGGGACATGCATATTAAACCAATATTCAGGTTTAATTTCATGTATATGTATGTAATTGATGTATCAAGTATTCACCAGTTTTATAAGATTGTATGATATCAGTAATTCCAAATCTACTTTTAATATGCTAGACAGGAATACTAGTTTACAAAGGGTATGAATTTGGTGATGCAAAGCTGCAATAGCTACATGTTTTACAGAGTATTTTCAATAAATTGTCCTCCAGCTAAAAGTTGCTTTCTGCCCACATTATAGGACATTAACGATTAGTTGAGCTAATGACTCTGTTAATTTCAGGTTTTGATAGGCAATTACCTCTATACATTCGGTGATCATGGAGGAGTCATTGTCGCTGTGCAGATGTACAAGGCTGGAGCTGAAACCAACGAGTTGAGATATTCGACAGATGATGGCGAGACGTGGCAGACCTTTCAATTCTTTCAGGAGGTCGGGTTTGGGATCTTTGGGTTATTTTACTTTGTTATTTATGACCATGTCATCTTCAAAAAAAAAAATTGTGATTGTCATATTAGCTTAGCTGTTGGTGGTATTGACTCATTTCTAGCATTATATGTACATTATAGAAAGAATGATTGTGCTTAATCATGTGTTCGAACTGTTTTCAGAAATTACGTATATTTGCACTCCTGACTGAACCCGGGGAGAATACAACCATATTTACTCTCTTTGGTTCAAGAATAGAGCATGAACATCAATGGATCATTATCAAGGTTAATATTTTTGTAGTCTTTTATATTTGATGTATTTTTTGTCATAATTGTTTAATTTTTAGTTGTGATTTTTTTTTTTTTTTTTTTTCACTATTTAAGGCTATTCTATATTGAGATTTTATGAGATGAAGATGTGTCACTGCTGAACTTATACCTGGTGAATGTATACACTTTTCACAGGTGGATATGTCATCAGTGTTCAGGTACTCGTGCAAAGCAGAAGACTACAAAACATGGTCACCCTCGGATGGTCGAAGTGGAAGGCTTTGTCTCCTTGGGAGAAAGGAAGTATACGAGCGAAGAATTGGCCACTCAAATTGCTATAATGGCCAGAATTATGACAGGCCAATTTCAGTGGAGAACTGTCCTTGCAACCGAGAAGATTTTGAATGTGATTATGGTTACAAGGATAATATGGGGACTCAGTTATGCACTGTGGATAGCAGTTTCAATTTTGACCCCCATGCAGTCCCTCTCAGCTGCAAACCAGGAGAGTTCTATAATAGGACAAAAGGCTATCGCAAAATTCCTGGTGACACGTGTGAAGGTGGTAGAGACTACATGTTCCTTCCAACCATCACTGCCTGCCCTGTGTCGTAAGTTATGTGCTTCATTCTAATAAAAAGTGTTAGTTATGAATGTTAATTTTTAATTTGAAAGTTGGAGTGATAGTAAGTAGCTATGAAATAGCATACGATTTTCATAGTGTAAGAAAATGTTTTTGTTACAGGAAAGAGCAGGAATTCCTCTTGGTGTCAGCACGGCAAGAAATTCTGCGGTATAACTTGGTAGATCCTGGTGCAGGTCTCCGTCCTCTGCCGATACCGAATTTGAAGATGGTCATTGCCTTAGATTTTGACATGAAGAATAATTGCATTTATTGGTCAGATATCAATGAAAGTAACTTGGGTATTAAGGTGAGTATTACTTATTTGTCATCTGGGAGGGAGGGAAGTTAAAAAAGAATTAATACTTGTATCAACCCGAAGCTGCTGGGGATGGCATGTACATCCATGTCATGCCTGCTGCAAGTTTGATTAAGTAATTGTTTTTACACATAGATGGCGTCACAAGTGCCAATTCACCAATGAGCCAATTAACCCAGTGCCAACGGGTAAAAATGTTTCGCAAGTGGATGTGAGAATGGGATTGTTGACGTGCATCGGCAGTTTCCCCTGTTTGTGCCTGGCTCGATCAGTAGTTTGCAAGTGACATTTGGCACCTAAAAGCTTTTATTTGGCTATAATTTATAAAGATATTATAATTTTGAAGGTTTACCGTCATTATAGGTGCCATTGCCTAAAATCTTTACCATATAAATGAAGCCGCAGCTATCAGAGAAAAACAAACTCCGTGTGACGAGCCATGTGCGTGGGAATGGGCATGATACAATGCCATCCATGTTTCAGTCCATAACAGCCATGGCATGTACGTACATGCCACCCGTTGGCAATGGGTTAAGAGTATTACCTGTCTCACATGTTTACCCCCTCCCTTGATTTTGGAAAATGTTTTCTGGTGTGTAATATTGCTGTTAGTAATGTCAATAACACTATAGTAATTATAATGTCTACAATAGAAATAGCAGCTTTGTTATTGAAAGCATTATTAAAAAAGATGTTTTTCACACAAACTCAAGGAAAGGTGAAATCAGATGAGGTCATGAGGTCTATGGATTGACTCCTTTGTGGCAGAGCCATCTATGTGTAGACATTTCACAAAACAATACTACAGTGAACACAAAATTTTCCTGGAGACTGGGTTGATGTACAACTTTCCATTGAGATCTTTCCTATCTTGTTTTGCTTTGATACCCATTCTTTTTAATTTTTTTTCAGAATCTGCTTTCAGTTTGATATATATTTGATTATTTCTGCATATGTTTTCTAGTATATGTACTGTTCTCTATATCCCTATCTCTGTTTTGGATTCACAAAGATCTGCTCCAATAGACATTATCCTCCTGAATATGTTCAGAACATTCCATACTCCACAATTAAGAAAATATGCACCCTATGATCTAACATTTTTATTTTCTTTTATACTTATTTTTTTGTCTTCCATTTTTAGGCTAGTATAGAGATTTCTATTTACTTTTTGTTTCTTCTTTTAGGTGTACCATTCATAAATTTTATGTATGAATTTTTCATATGGATTGTCTCTTGTGATTTAAGTTTGATTTGCATTACCTGTGTTTTATAAATATGTGTTATTGGAAGAACAGTAAATTTTTATAAGGAATTGGTATATCTAATAAACATATCAGCATGATTATCACAGCCCTGTCTCAAAGCACTGACCATAATTCTGGTTTCTAGGGTGTTGGTCTCGATTGACAGCGTTGAAGATCTGGAAGGACTTGCTCTTGATTGGATTTCAAATAACCTCTACTTCGTCGATGGAGAGCTTAAGTCCGTAGAGGTTATAAGGACCGACATCCACAACTATGGAAGGATGAGGAGGTCTCTGCTTACAGACAAAGACCTGGATAATCCAAGAGGCATTGCTGTACATCCTCTCCGAGGGTTTGTATTTTTGTTTTATTTTGTTTATGTGTGTATGTATGTTTAGAGGGAGAGAGAAGGAGGGAGAGGGAGAGAGGAGGAGGGAGAGGGAGATAGAGGAGGAGGGAAAGGGAGAGAGAGAGAGAGAGAAGGAAGGGAGAGGGAGAGAGGAAGGAGGGAGAGGGAAGAGAGGAGGAGGAGGAAGGGGAGAGAGAGAGAGGGAGAGGAAGAGAGAGGAGAGGAGAGAGGAAAAGATGAAGAGAGAGAGGAGAGAGAGAGGAGGAGGAGAGAGAGAGGGAGAGAGAGAGAGAGAAGAGAGAGAGAGAGAGAGAAGGAGGAAAAGAGAGAGAGAGAGGAGGAGAAAAGAGGAAGAAGGAGGTCTCTCTGCTCTCTCTCTCTCTCTCTCTCTCTCTCTCTCTCTCTCTCTCTCTCTCTCTCTCTCTCTCTCTCTCTCTCTCTCTCTCTCTCTCTCTCTCTCTCTCTCTCTTTCGTTCTTGTTTTCTCATAAAAAGGTCTCTGGTGGACAATAGTTTTCATTCATTCATTTGTTCATTTACAGATATTTGTACATCACTGATTGGTCAGAAACGAACCCAAAAGTTGTGAGGACTTACTTGGACGGCACAAATTGGAAGGTTAGGACTTCATAGTCAAAATGCTGGAATTGTTCTATAAATGATCTGTGTGCGATTAAGTTATTCACTTCATTTCTGTTGTCCTTGAATTTATTTCCCATGCACATGCACACACACACGTACACGCCACACACACGCACATGCACAGACACACACATGCACAGACACACACGCACAGACACACACTCGCACACCCACACACACACGCATACACGCACACATGGAATCACTCACTCACTCACTCACTCACTCACTCACTCACTTCACTCACTCACTCACTCACTCACTCACTCACTCACTCACTCACTCACTCACTCACTCACCACTCACCCACTCACCCACTCACCACACCCACTCACTCACTCACTCACTCACTCACTCACTCACTCACTCACTCACTCACTCACTCACTCACTCACTCACTCACTCACTCACTCACTCACTCACTCACTCACTCACTCACTCACTCACACACACACACACAACACACACACACACACACACACACACACACACACACACACACACACACACACACACACACACACACACACACACACACACACACACACACCTCTTAGGTAATCACATACTTGATTTCAGGTTCTCTTTGATCACACGGTTGTGGGATGGCCCAATGGCATCACAATAGACTTCCAGACGGAACGCATCTTCTTCGCCGATGCCAAGCTAGATTACATAGCCTCTGCTGACTTAGATGGACAGTCCATAAGGAAGATCATTTCTGATAGCGTAAGTGACTTGACTCCGTAGTCTAAGTAAAAACAAAAATATGCAGTTCATAAAGTATGTGTTTGTATACTACTGCTTACCATGTGATAGCAATGTGGTAATATCTACTTTATTGTTCTTTTCTCTCAGGATAAGGTGATACAACCATTCGCTGTTGGCGTATACAAGTCGCTCCTCTTCTGGGACGATTGGCAGGTGCATCAGGTTCTGCAGGCCGACAAAAACTTCGGCTGGGGCATTTCCACGGTTGGCAATATGAGCCGGAGTGGGCTAGTTGACCTCAAAGTGTTTGGCCATTGGTCGCAACAGGGGTCAAATGCTTGCACGTAAGTGTTTCACAGTAATGCCAAGGTTCATGCATAATATTGGGATTATGATGCTTGGTCAGCAATTGTGATAAAGAGGATTTTATTTAGCCGATATCTTATAGGTTGAAGATCTTTTTTTATAATTGGAGTTTTTTATGGAACTGTTAAAGGTTTATATGTATATATTGATGTTTTTTTTTGTTTGTCTTTTTTCAGGAATAATACAGAATGCCCATATCTCTGCATGGGTCGTCCAAACAACCAGTTTGCTTGCCTGTGTCCTCAAGGCATGAAGGTATGTTTTGGAGTAGTTTATATAATAGATGGATATATAAATTTTTGGTTAAGATCAACAAGTATTCTAACTTGTCATCTGTCACATTAACATTTTCTGTAAAGTGGTCAGAATAATTTCATAGATCCTTGTATATGTATATCTTTTCTTAAAGAACGTATTTTTATTTATTATTTTTTTTTTCTGAAACTTTAATCTGAAAAAAAAAGATGCCAGGTTTCTCCGTTACACAAATTTCAAACATAACAGATCACCCGAAATGGATTAATTGAGACATGTGCTTGTCCTGACCTTATTGAGTGACGCACCTGCAAGGCAACAGGACACAAAAAAATCAACTCGGGCAGGTGCATTCCGAAACAGTGGGTGTGCGACTCTGACAATGACTGTGGCGACAACTCAGATGAAGTGAGTTATTGTTGTTGCTGTAGATGTTGTTTGTGTTGTATATGGACTATCTTTTATATTATTTTCTTTAGCAGTGTCTTTTTTTTTAAGTGTTGTAAAAGTGAAGGGAATTTTTTTTTTTTTTTTTTTTTCATCTTTCCTCCTCAGTTGTGGAATTTCACAGAAATATTAGTGATGGAAGTAGAAGGAGGTGATTGGGAAAGGGGATAGGAAAAATAGGAAAGTGGAAAAGTTAGGGATCTAATGAAAGGCATTGTTTAAAGTTTTATTCTGGAGAGGAAGAGCTAGAGAGAAGTAGTCAAAGGATTAAAGAATAAGAAATAGTGATAGGATTAACCCACTAGCGCCGGTATATTTTGAAGCCAAAAATAATAGTTTCCAGGCGGCTCCAAAATCGGCGCATTGGCCACGGCCCGCGACGGAATTTGAGCGCAAGCTCCATTCCAACGTCACACTGGTGGGATGCCTGGCAATGTTTATTTTTCCAGGTGTCTCATATGTGGGACACCCGTCGTAAATGGGTTAAGCACAGATAATAAAATAGATACAGTAAATACAGTAGGAGGATTTTAGAAGAAAACTTTTATAGAAGCAGGCAGGAGTGATGTGTTAGAAATATGAAAATTTTGTAGATAATTTGTAAATATACCATATTACAGGATGGGAAGGAATGTGGCCACAAATCATGTGAACCACCATCCTGGCAGTGTAAAAACGGCCAGTGTATCGCTCAGAGCTGGCGCTGTGACTTCGACAACGACTGTGGTGACCACTCAGACGAGGATGGTTGCGAGTATGAGCTATGCCCGGAAAACACTTTCAAGTAAGAAACATAAGAAATATAAACTTACTAGGTTACCTTTGCCAAGCCTGTCCCTTATATTTTTCTATTCATTCTTCTAATTTAATTTTATTTTTCATCTCTTCTAAGCCATTGAATTTAGTAGGTTTACCATTATTCAAGGTTGCATGAACTGAACTTTGTGCTCCCCATTAGAGGGGAAGGGGAGATGACTGACATAAGCATTTTGGTACTAATTCTCATAAATGTTATCTGTACCCATTTTTTCAAAGTCAGGGTGAGAAAAGTTCTCTCTTAGACAAAGTCGGCGGAAGAATAGTTCCCTCTTAGGCAAAGTCTGCATAAATGTGACTCCTTTGTTGTGCTTTGATGTACTGCCAAATTCTGAAACTCAGTATTTGGGAGGGGGGGGGTCCTTCACTTGCTGGACAATAGTAAAAGTAACAAACAAAGTACTGTTACTGTTTAGTAGATATGAGTCTCATTTCATATATTGATATTAGAATAGCTTTGAATCAAAGGAGAAAGATCTAAGAATGCCATTTTATTTCTAGATTTATTGAAATATATTTAATTTTTGCAGGTGTGCCAATGGCCGGTGCATTGAACCCCACTGGCGATGCGACATGGAAAACGATTGCCGCGATGGATCTGATGAAGTTAATTGCACCACATCAGCAAAGCCAGGATGCAGAGGTGTGGTGATAAAACATTTTTTAGCAGGCTATGTGCACAATGACTTCCCTAGAGTTGTGAGATTACATTTCATCTTACAAACTAGTATGAGATTTTCAAAAACTGAAATGTAGAAACTCCTATGGCGAAGATGATAATATGATTGTTATCTAACCTTCTTTCCCTTAGGAAGAATCATTGACAGAAACCACAGTGAAGGTGCGGTTTTAGCATGTAATTTCAGGCACCCATTATAGTTGTTTTGCCTCTTGGCAAGTCCTTTTCAGCCATGCTTGACTGCAACTTACTAGCCCATTCCTTGTATTGGAAATCAACAAGCAGTCAGGATGGTTTGCACTTTGTTGACTGAAAGAGGACCTTAGTAGTATCACATAAAGCACACAGTACTATTATACTTGCCATGTGTTCTCATGGCAAAATCATTGTTTTTTTTTTTCACATGTAAGAAAAGCATCACCCTCTTACATCAACTTCTTAGTTTACTCAGTGGTTTAGATTACAGATGGTGTTAGAAAGGAAGACCTACTCCTTGGAAATCAGCTGTTTATACTTATTGTGTACTGTGAAGTAATGGCCAGGTAAATAGCTTTTGTGCTGAAGAAAAAATCACAGGACGTGTATATGCTGCTCTTGCATTTTTTAATTTTTTCTTTATTTGTTTTTTTCTTGTTCAATTGTATAGTACTTTCTTTCCCCAAACCATTATAGAACAAATTGGGAAATTAAGGAAAAATGAAGGGACAATTTGGTTTAAATTCATCAGGACTTTTGGTATTTTGTTTCATTTATCAGAATAATTTAGTTTAACCTACACCTAAAAGTGTATAAAAAAAAAAATTATAGAATTTAAGGTAATATATTTTTCTTTTTCTTTTTACTACTTATTTACATCCAAAATTGTAAGATTTCAGCCATGAGTAAAAAGATTTGACTATTTTCTTTGGCTAATATAGTATGATCAGGTATAAGTTCATGGCTTGATGATAAATATTTGTTTTTAGTCATAGGAAGAACATTCCTCCATAATCTGTGTAGGTCCAATATTTTGATTTTGCACTCATCTTACTTTGATTTGATGTTGTAGTTCACAACTCAGGACAGTTTAACCAGGAAGCCTAATGATGGCTTAACACGGTAGCAAGAGTTATGAACTCCGTCAGTTGGAGTTTCTTGGAGATGCTGCTATCTGTTAATAGGATTAAACTTTGTGTCTTTGATATTGCTGGTATTACTACAAGGCAGCCAATGCTAGAGTAAGCTTGTGCCTTATAATTTCATCTTGATGCTGTCTGTAACAGGTCCTTGTGTTGGATCACGGGTTATAATTGGCAGTACCATTTGTCCAATCAACATTGTCACCATGAAACTGGTACTCTCACAATCGGAGACTAATCTCAACTTGCTGAAGCTAATCCTGACCGTCAGGAATGTGTCTAGACAGGACAGTTCTGGGTGGAAGAGGCCTATGAAATAACCAAGGAAGTCATAACTTGGGCAGATTGATCAAACCTGTTGCGTGGGAGTCAAAATGGGTGGTGCTAATACCTGGTGAGCTAGCTAACCAAGAGGCACTTTTGTGATTGGAAACACAGGATGGATCCAGCATTGCATCCTCCCAGGCACTAACCCAGCTTGTTAGTTGATTGATGGTTATAATAAAAGGGTCTTCAGCTGTCTTTTGGAAGACAGTTTTATATGATTTCAGGGTTGATAAAATAGGTAATTAGACTTGATATGTGTTCATAACTCACATTTGCATCACGTCCCATGTTACACATAGCATGTATTTATGAGAAAGTTGACTTTATTTAGGGAAAGACAACTCATATATATAGCTTGAGGACATGGGGGGATGAGAGTCACCTATCTTTCTTACTCCACTGTACCATTGTGAGATAGTGACTTTAGGTTGCCATGTTTAGGTGACTAATATGTAAAGAGTGATTAGAGACTGAAGAGCATGAAGATAACTACACAAGTGGTTCTAAACACATTCCCAGGCTCACAAGTTTGCAAAGAAACTTATTGCATATATTGTATATACATAAACTGCAAATTGCAACACAAGATAGACATTTAGCATGTGAGACAA